GGAAGGATACAGTTCTATAAACAATTTTGCATAAGGGATCCTGATGTTCATTATCTGCTACTTTGTTGTTGTTTTTTTTCTGCCTGAAGTGTATCTTAATAAGTTTTTTTTAGGGTAATGTTGGCATCAGTTACCCATTTCTTGAACATTTAGGGGCCATATGAATTACAAAGGTTAATGGAATTCTTTGTGGCCATATATAGTCAAGGACACCACAGCTGGAAGAATCATTTGAGGTCCCTTGAAGCAGCTGGGCTACATCAGGCGCTCCCTTCTGTTTCCAGAGTGCTCAGTGCGCACCTCAGGCACAGCACGTAAGACGTTTTACTATACTTTTTATCTGTTCACATCTCCCCCTTCCACTAGACTGAACTCGGGGAAGGCAGGGAAATATCTCTGGCAGAGTTTGGATCAAAAGATGTTCACTAACTATTTGACCTAATTCCTTGTGTTTCACACCACTGTTTCTGAGAAAACCATCTCCTCTTTTCTTCTCTGGGGTGTGTGTGGGGAGGAGTTTCCTGACCTCACTCTCCAGGTTCTACCACAACTTTTTCAATGCCCTTTTCATTTCATTAAATCAAAAGATATTGGGAATCATCAGGATGAATACATTAGCAACATCAATTCACTAATGTGACGGTGGGTAGCTCTTAAGTTCAGTAGTGCTCAAACATGCCCCTGCAGGCTTTTACTGGCCTGTACTCAGGGGTCTGAAAGTTCATGCTGGAGGATGTTGCTCTCAGGCCCAGTTAATGAAATCAGATAGGGAAGAGCAAGGGGGCTCCATTTTAAACTGAACCTCCATCTTGGGGCTTCAAAGGGTAAAATTAAAACAAAGAATTCCATTAACCAGCCATATGACTAACAGTCAATTAACCGTATCTGAAGCTAGAGCAAACAATCCCAAGAATTACTAACCAGTCCTTGTTTACACTAGGAACATTACCTTGGGGAAGGAAGAAGAATTATAAAATTCTTTTGTGTTAGGCTTATTCTACAGAAACATCAAAAAGGAGGCCCTGAGCATATTTTGGGAAAGCCAGTGAATCAGCATCTTCTGTCCATGGAGTGGACATGAGAAAGCAACTGATGTAGGTAACATAAGGAAATAATTCATCAATGCCCTTCCTCCCCAAACCCTTTTACAACTGCTTTTGTGAGCCCTTTTGTCGGCTCCTTTGTATATAAGCTGTCTCTAATAAACTCTGCCTGCTTTCTTTAGAGGCCAGTGTCCATTTCTATGACACTGAAACTCAAGAACCTGGTCACTGGAGACCAGTAACAGTTTTGGAGAGCCAGGCAGGTGACGTGGCTCTGCCGCTGGCTCAAGTTCCTCCTTTCTAGGGATTTTCTTTGGTGCCTTGGAGCACCCAGGCTCAGAGGAGTGCTGCCTGGATGCTGCAGGACTAGTGGCCACCTGGATTCTTTTGTCCCTGCACAATGGGTGTCCCCTCTGCTCCAGAGGTCCAAGACAGGGCAGGTGGATTTATTAGCTAGTTTTAGCCCTATTCTATTCTTCCTTCCTTCGTTATTGGTAGATGCCTGTGAGGGGCCAGCAGGACATGCAGGAGGGAGGACTGAAGCCCTCACAGCTGCGGTGAGCGAGGGGAACCGGACACAGCAGGACTGAGTCCCCCTGTGTCCCAAGATTGCGGCCTTGAGAATGCCTACCTGCGGCAACTGGCTCAGAGCCAGCCCAAGCCTAACACCCCTGGCGGCCAGATGCACTTGCAGCTAACCCACTTGTGAATCCCAACAGTAAATGTGCACGCTACTTTCTCCTGACTTTATCTTTTTTCTTTTTTCTTTGTGCACCCTCCCTGCTGCCCCCAGGTGGCTATGAGACAACCACTGCCAAACTCCCCTTAGCCATTAAGGGCATGTTCTGTCATAAACCTTATCATGTCCTTCTAATGTAAACACAGCCTCACCATTGCCTGAGACTGAAACAATAAAAATGGAAAAAGAGGCTTTTTTAAACACGAATGGCTTTAGAAGCGCCTTTGCCCAAAATCAAGCCCTTAGGCATCTTCACACATATTAGTACCCAGGAAATCTTTGTTTGCATCTGTTTGTGTGTTTGTCTATGTACATGTTCTTTCATTATAAATGGGTTTACCTCTGGATGGCATTGCTAAAATTAATTGATTAGAAGACAAGCATTTGTAAGAACTGGGCAATTCCAAAATGGCAAATTCTGATAGAAACTAACCCAAATGTTTTTCATGTTCATGTGATCTGGGAAAGATACTAGGTATTAATGCTAATTTAAGTTTGGTTTAATTAAAATAGCTATGTCTTAAGATTATCAGCATTAGAATTAAAACATTCATTCTGCCTAGGTTTACCTAAAGTCCTGTAAGTTGACATTACCTGTTAAACTTTTTTTTGGAAAAAGGGCTTGGGAGAATGGCTGACTTTGTCTAATATCTAATGAAGTTTTTGTGGGTAATGTAGGCATGGTAGTTGAGAACAAATAAACTAAATAGGTGTAGTCGGTGAACTTTTTAGTAACAATCACTTAGTATTATAGTATGTGTATCTAAAAATAGCTTGAGAATGTTGTTGGTAACCTGAAAAGTTTTGCTAAGTGACAGTTTAGTTACCAAATATTTTATCAGTAAGATAAAATAATGAAACATTAGTTATTGAATGTAGGTTTATCTACTTTTGGCTTTCTTATTTCAGAGAAAATAAGGACAAATATGGGTCTGTTACTGAATATATTTTGTGCTTACTGAAACATTGTACTGTAAAGAAGCACATTTTCTTTGAAATTATGAAATGTATTCATAAATTTGCCAATCTAAAAACACTGGTGTAACAAACAGTTCACAATTGCTTGCTACTTAGTTTTTGCTAACAATTAAGGTCTCTAAAAATTAAGAATTTTAATAGGTGGAATTAAAACCACTAGAAATAAGGGAAGTATCTCTGTATATGAGAAAAGTAAGATGAGTGTTTTTGGTAAAGAATGGTAATGCATTTTATTAAAAGGGAAAAAGAAAGGTAAGAGGCTAATTATTTAAAAAAGGAAAACTTAGGACAACATCTGAATGTAAAAAAGTTGTAAAAGGTTTGTGGAAAAGGGATTTAATGTGATCGTACTGTTTGTGATTGAGGTAAATAAGGTTTAATATCACGTGCACCACGAGATTAGAATTTTGTTTTCTCTGTTAAAAGGACAAAGTCTTTCTTGAACTATTGGTCTGCTGTTAATATCAAGAGATTGTTAAGGGTTTTACTTATTGTTTTGTCAGAATGTCTTGTGCACATGTTGTCTTAATCAGGTCTTTGATTACTTAAGAAAACTGAATCTTAATATTAAAAGAGCTAAATCTTGCTAACAACCATGTAACCTACATGGCCTTTAAAATCTTTTACTGTCACTTTGACTGAATGGATAACTAGGTGTTGTTTCATGATAGTCTGTTTCTCCTCCTGGATGCTGAGCATCTGAAGTTCAGGGAACCTATTCAGCTGAGTGTCCCAAACACTGCATGGCTGCTCAGCTCAGCAAGTATTTAATAAGTTGGTCAGATCAATTCAAGAGGTAAATAGAACATTATTAACAACTCAGTGTAAGTCTTAAATGGTCTTACAATAATCTTTAAAGTACTTTTTCCCTTTTGGACTTCTTTTAAACTTGTTAGTCAAGGTAGATAACATAGACTGAAAGTCAGTATTAAAATATGTCATTTAGGTATTTCAGGTGAAAGATCCCCAAGAATGACCCCCCAATGAAACAACTTCCCTAGAAATGAGTAGCTTGAATGATTGGCTGAACTTAATAGAATTTATTCATTAAACTTAACCATCAAGATACTTCCTGTTGTGAGAAACAGAAAGCTAACTCAAACTGGCTTAAGCCCCAAAGGATGTTTCTTAGCTCAAATTGAAATTCTTGGGGTGAATGGCTTCAGGCTCAGTTGGATCCAGGAACTCAAACATTGTCACTACACTTACTGTCTTTTCTCTGTTCTTCTGTGTCAGTTCCACTCCAGCAGGCTGTCCTGTGATGATGAGATGACTTCGAGGAACTCCAGACTCAGCCTATGCTTTACGTCTGTGATCTCCCAATTTTGTTGATTATGTATCCAACATACATGTTAAGCATGTATACCCAATGTGTGTATATTTATTCATAAATTATATGCTACTATATACCACTGTTATTCTTTTTATTAATTATTCATAGAGTTCAGTTGTTTTTAAAGTAAAGAATAAAATAGAAGAATTACTATTTTCTATACTCCCAATGGATAGTTTTGCATACCCCAGTTTGGAAGCTACTTAGTGGAAGGCCCACATCTCTCCCATCATTTATAATCACAGTCCTGTAACCCCATCTCAGTGGTTCTTTTTGGGCTGCCTTGACTCATATGTCCATTTCTGAGTTGAGAGCCCTTGAAATAGTAAAAGAAAATTTTGCTCATACAAGTTGATATGAGTATCTGACTAGGCATAAATAAAGGAAATGCTACTTTAACTTTTTAAAGATATTTGTATTTTGGGATCTTGTGATTATTGATATATTATCCAAAAGTGGGGGAACATAATCCTTCTTTCAGTTTAGAGTTATAGAACAGATTGTCTATTTCCATAACAATTGAATTATATTAGCCTATACTAAATTTCTGTGATTTCATACTTGGAGTATCATGAAAGTATCCCTTCTAGTTTTTGTTAGTACTCCTGTGACAAGTGAGTGCTATATGTTAAGATATAGGAATTGGCAAGTCTTGCAAATAAAATCCTATTCTTAACAATTTTTTGAGAATGGCCATTTTGAACAAGATGAATAGCTATGTGTGTGCAAAGGCACATGATAGAGGGTCCTGAATAATTTTCAGATTTCTGAAGAGAAAAGGAGTTCCTTGATTGGAGAGAAAATTTACTTGTAAGAATGGGTAGAACACATGAACAGAAAGTATTATTTAGGAGTTTTCTGACGAACAGACTCTTTTGTATACTTAAAAATTGATCTTTTGTGGCAGAAATACAATGGCTCATCTTGATTCTGAGGCGAAAGAAGAGTGTCTGAGGAAAGACCTGAAGTTTTACTTCATGAACCCTTGTGAAAAATACCGAGGCAGACACCAGATTCCATGGAAACTAGGTTTGCAGATTTTGAAAATTGTTATGGTCACGACACAGGTAATTTATATTATCAGTTCACTTGTTTTTTTCCTTACCCCAAGATGAAACTATTTTCACGTGTTCTGTCACTTGACCTTTGTCTGAGAAGTCCATATTCAAGTTCATTAAACTGTAAAATTGTGTTGACTCTGGAGGGTGGGTGGTAGGTTGAAATTCAGATTAGATGACCACCTTGTTTTAGTAAAGGATTATGAGGTTATCTGTTCACAGGTTCTGTAAATAACAGATAAAGAGAAGATCTGTATGGGCTGGTGGGGGTGGTTCTATATCTGAACAGGGCACATAGGCTGGCAAAGACTTCTCAATTCAAAGTGATTTGTGTTCTTAAAATGTCTCATCTAAAAAAAAATGCCTCATCATTACTCAGATACACCTTATTTAAACAGACTTTGGAATCTGCAGTTTTTACTGTTTTGATGTTAGGCTTACATGAAATACTGTTTCCCTTTCATCAGTAGCTGATTGCTCTATTCAGATACTCACCCACTGACACTATCAAGGGCATACGAAGACTACATTGGGACCTTTTGTTTAAGTTCATACTACTGAGCATTTTATCACCAGTATTACAGCCATCAGAGCTGTCATCTACTTTTGAGGCTAGTGCTGAATCAGTTTCATTGAGGCTTCTCTCAAGGTAACTACATCTGAAATGCATGCCCTTTTAAAAATACTACTGATTTGGGATATTTGGCTCCTATGGCAGATAACCACTCTGTTATTAATGTAAAAGGGTTTGTAAAGATGTTATTTTGGGGACACAAGAATAAATACCTTTCTCAAAAGACCTCCATATAGTTTTAGAAATGAGAGGAGATCCCTGCCCTAACTGATATTGTATCTTTATTCTGTAGTCATGCAGAGGTCTTCTCATTGTATGACATGCTGTACCATCTCTTCACATTTCAGGGTAACCAGCTTACTTCAAGTGAAGCAGCAAGGTTGAGAGGCAGGGCCACTGTTAAATGTGTATGCTTAGTTTTTTCCTTAAAAATTTTTTTTCCATGTTAATTCTTGGCTTAGGAATTATAATTTTAACTCCCTATAAAATAGGTGCATTGTTAGTATCACTTGGAAGGAGGAGAAATAATGTCCCCTTTTATCACTGGTCAATTTTAGCTGTTTTCCAATTTCTTTTCTTGCCAAACTAGCTTTCATTTCAACTTTTGGTCTGTCAGTGTTACTCAGATTCTAACTTTGACTTCCTTCTTTGTCCTGGTATCTACTAAATGCCATGGATTCTTCCTTCAAAGCTGCATCTACTTAGGTTTTACCGTATTGACTACTCTCTGGCACAGACTCTTAATAGCTAGTTAAAAATATGCACAAAGCACCTCATATGCTGTGTGTTCTGTTGGTAACACAGAGGTGACACATCACAGCTGCTGACAGCCGACACGTGGCAGCGCTTGCCATGCAGCAGGCCCTGGGAGCACGTATGTGTGTTAACTCATTTCTTCCTCACTGCAACCCTGGGATGTGGACTCAGTTATCGCTCCCCTTTAATGGATGGGGAAACTAGGCCAAACAGTTTGGAATTCGCTTATGGCCATTCACTTAGTAAGTGGCCGAGCCAGGATTTGAGCCCCAGCCATGTGGCTCGAGAGGCTACACACTTATTCTGTCCCAGATAGGGGTCCTGTCCTCATGGTCTGCAATCTAGGAATACAGATAAATTAACTGGGCTGCTTCTCTTCTTCATCTGATGCCTGCGTTTCTTCTCTACAGACATACCATCCCATTCAATGCCAAAATCAGATCAATTCTTAGAATGCCTTCATTGTGTCACTCTCCTGCTCAGAAACTTCTGTAGAGCCCAGTTTTCCACAAAAGAAAATAATAACCCTGTAGCCTGGCATTCACAGATTTCCATAATCTCCTTCAATTTGCCTTTCCAACAGGTTTGCCTTTCCAACAGGTTTGCCTCTACTGTTTCCTCCCCAAATCTCAGCCAGACAGACCCACCTAATGATCCTCATCCCTGCCCTGTTTGTTCCTTCAAGTCCAGAGTGCCTCTTTTCCTCCCCGTCATCTGGCAGGAGCTGTCTGAAGTCCTTCCCCACCACCAGCCTTGCCTGACCACTCAAAATGGCTTAGCTGAGCCTACCAGAACCCCTTGCCATCTACATCACTAATTTCACTTGCAATAGAATATTTCTGGGAATTGATCATGTACTTTTTGTGTCAATGTACCTTGTCATGCCTGTCAGGAGTCATTGAATGCTTGCTTCTTTGTAGGACCATCTTAATAAGTTTTGCTACTTGGATGATATCTAGTGGGAACAGATTTCTCAAATACCTTTCTTTCCTTCAAATCCCACTTTTCCTTCCTCCTCTTATTCTGCTTCCATCCTCAAGTCTGGTGGGATGGGTGACATTTTATCAGAGTTCAGAAACAAACTTTTTAAAAGACATTCCTACTCTTCATTCTGCAGTAATTTATAATCTTGAGAGAGGTGTCTACATTCTTTTGCTAGTTCTACTCTTTTCCCTCCATATTCTCTGTATATTATTATAGTGGTATCTTGTTTTTACCTGGTACAGAATATTTTTTCCTACACTGATTTCTTAATCAGGTCTTAAATTCAGTCTTTGCCAGGCTGCACTTAACGTGTAATTATTTTTCTGTCTCAGCAAATCTTAAGATCTACTCAGTGGGCTTGGATGCATTTTTCTGTCAACTCCTCTTTAAAAATAACATCATTTAGCCAACCCCATCATCTCCTGACTCTTGCTTTGTAGCATTGTTGTTTCTGCCATCACAAGAACAGGACTTCCTGATCTCCTCCCCAAGGTTTCTCTCCTCTACTGAGAGCTGCTTTGACAATCCCAACCTGACCTGGTGTTGAGCTTACATGTGGATCTTAGCTTGGTCTACGAGCAGGAGTTCTAGGAGGAAATTTCTTTTCCTGATGCCACATGAGGGTGGTTCCAAGCAGAGATTATACCTCCATGTTCTCTCATTTCTAAAATTGAATAGGTGAACTTTGAATTTAAATAAGGTAGTAGCTTAAAATAGCAGCAAATGTTGTGCCACTTTCTTACTCAAGTTATCCATTCCCTATTCAGATTATTTTTTGGTTTGGTTAGCTGAACTACACATGCAGGAGGAATGGGTCTAAAATCCCTACTTCTAGAGTTATGTTGGCAGCATTTCAGCATGAGAGTTAGTGTGGCAAAGTAGTCTGGAGAATAAATAGGCCTGTTTAGGTCTCTGATCTAACACCTGCTAGCTGTTCCAACCCGGAAAGTTTACTTGACTTAAGGTTGCACATGTACAAAATTGAAGTATATTCAACAGATTCAGTATTTGACTCTGATGTTGTCTTGGGCATTATTCCAGTTCCTGAGTATAGAGCAGTGGGGAAAAAGGAAAAAAATCCCTGTCCTTGTGGACCCCAGTGTACTAGCTCCCTCCCAGGGTGCTGGGGAATTAAGTGGAAAATAAAAATAAAAATTTTAGGTACAGTGCTTGGCACTCAGTAAATGAGTTGTCCAGTACTATGCAATGTTGATCTTGCCCACATTATATCCTTGCTTGGCCAGGGTAAGCATTTAGCAAACTTTGATTGAGGAACTTAATTGATATGTGTATATAACTATTTTTCACCTACGTATCAGTATTTAATAAAATCTTCAAACAGTCATGTGTGTATTGGTTCCCCTGGCTTACTTACTTAGTTTCAAAAAGCAACATGACCTTTTCTGCATCTTATCCAGACACTATTGGCAGATATCACATGCTTGGAGGAAACTTTAGCCTTCTGTTGCTTGATTTCTAGCACAGGCTGGATGATATGAGACTTCTTATCTGATATTTTCCTTTGAATAGCTGGGTTTTAGCAATTGCTCAATACTTTGACATGGTATTTGAGGAATGTGACCCGGAGAGGCTCAGATGCTAAAGAATATCATCAAATACATATTCTCAAATGATATATTTGCAACTCTGGAAAGCTAGCACCTGAATTCTTTTCTATGAGAAGAGTGCCGAAGACAAATTTTTCAACAGGAGGAAATTGTGTAGCACAATGAAAATAACTTTGGATTTAGAACTGGTTTTCATTCTAATTAGGTGACTTAGGGTAATTTAATAAGTCTGAGTCTCAGTTTCCACATATGTGAAATGGGGCTAACTATAGTAACAGTTCCATAGGGTTGTTGTGTTAGTAGATGAGATAATGCATGGAAAGCAGTACAGTGCCTGAAATATAATTGCTGGAAAATGGTAGCTAATGTTTTTAATTATTCAGCCTTATTAAAAAGTTAGACAAAATTTAAAAACTAAAAAATATAAATCATTTTAAAAGTAAGTTTACATATGCAAATTCATATCTGTTTTATCTGAAAGCTTAATAGTTGATGGCTTATTTAATGCATGCAATGTATCACATTGGACCATGAAATGATGGCAAATAACAGAACTGTCATAGTCATTCGACTGAGCTTGCTGATTTCACACATGATGAAACAGAGTTCCAGATTGTTTTGGTGGCTTAGTGGGGTGAAGATTTGGGGCAAATTTTCTGGACTGTTATTGTCATATAAGGAGATAAATAGAAGATAAAGTAGGTAGATGGGGGGAGGGTGTGTGGGACAAAGCTTATAGAAGTTTGACTTCTCCCACTGTGTGTGCATGTCTGTGTGTGTGAGAGTGTATGTGTGTAAGAGAGTGCATGCAGCAGAACACTGCGAGTATGTCAGAAAGTGTGTGAGAGAGAGAAAGAGAATGAGGTTGTGTATATAACTGTGTGTGTAATTTCTTGAGTGTTTTGGGGTAAATTTTAGTGCCTGCTGATTTTCCCCACTTATTGGATTCCAAGAAAAACTTTAGGATAGAAAGAGTGCGTCACTCCTGGTGAAAAGAGCCCTTGCTGCCTAACTTTGTGCTAGGATACAGTGTAAGGGAGAAAAGGCCAGAGTTTTATTCCGGGAAGGTGGTTGACTGCTGACAGTGAATAGGTTTGACATCATCTGGGTAGAGTGTGCCCTGCTCTTTCTGGTGCTTTGATGCAGTAGATCTTGGAGTCGGGAGTTCTTAAATCTCATATGAGTTCTTGCAGAGCTAGAGGAATTGAATTCCTTTGGTGGTTACCTCTTATCCGGAATATGTATTATATAGGCGACTTTTCAAACACATTCTTAAAAGCCACATGAAAACCATAGTTGTGATTTTAAAAAATACTTATTCTTGCAAAACATGGATTATTGTTTTATTAAATATATCAATTTTTAAAACAATTTGAAATCCAAGTATATGAAAATGGATTCAGACTTAACTGATCTGCTTTCCTCCTTCTTCTCTTTCATTGAAGGCCAGTAAGGTTGTCAAAACATTGGGAGTAGTAATTTCTTATAATTTTATGCTATTTTGAATTGCTGCTGTTACTTAATGAGGTTATTCTTCTTTGGGAATTGTGTTTGACTTTGATGGGATTAGTAAAACCAAACCAGTGAGATTTTTCTTGCTGATGTTTTTAGGTGAGGGACAATGATAAGAAGAAGGCATTTGCCTCCCCCAGCAAATGTCGAATTCATATATCCCTGTTTGATTTTATTTTCTAGCTTGTTTGTTTTGGATTAAATAACCAGCTGGTGGTTGCTTTTAAAGAAGAAAACACTCTTGCTTTTAAGCATGTGTTTTTGAAAGGATATCCTGGCATAGATGAAGATGATTACAGTTGCAGTGTATACACTGAAAAGGATACCTATGAGAGCATCTTTTTTGCAATCAATCAGGTAAGTATTTTGTTATAAATGACCTATACTTTAAGAATATATGGATACTTGACATTGTTTTAGCAAAAAAGCATATAAGTATAGTAAAACATTCTAATTTAAATTTTGCATAGTCTGCCAAAAAATGTTTACTGTTATTTCTATAGCAACACTTCCACTCAAAAGATTTTGCCTGTTTAAAATTTTTTCTTTAAAATTTATATTTCTCGTTTGTCTCTTCACACCCAATACTTTCGGGAGATGACTGCTCCAAATTAAACAGCCACGAGTAGATTTAGAATCTCAGAAGGGTTGATGAATGAGCTACCAAATTGAAGATTCTAGTGCCTCAATTTTGATGCCTTAGCATTAATAAGCCTAGCTGAATCTTAAGAATATGGAGTAGGGTATATGTAGTTGTATCTAGGTAGATATTGAGAACCCGGATTGGTAGACCTGGAGAAAGCATTTAGGGGAGAGAAATTGTTCTTTTTTCTTCTTTATTCATTCAATAAATATTTGGGTACCTAGTATGTGTCAGGTACTGTTTTAGACATCGGAGATACAGCATAAATAAAACAGACACAAACCCTGTCTTTATAGTTTATAGAACTTAATTCTAGAGGGGAGAGCCAGACAAATGAAAGGAAGTGGAAAGAGTAGTACTGACTGCTGGCTCCCTGTAAACACTGCCAAAAAAAGTTGATAAGCAAAACTAAGCGTCCTGCTTATACCAGTAAGGGAAATACTACCTTGACCATTCTCAGTGGTAGCATAGGCAAATGGGGAAAAGTCTGGACACAGATTGTGAAGTCTTGTTTAAGGTGGGTCATTCAGTGTGAGGGGAGTTCAGTTAGGCTAAAGATTATGATATAGGATTGGTGGACACAGCAAGGTAAGCTGTGTTGGGTTGGGGGTGATTTCAAAGTCTTAGAGTTATTAAACTAAATCTCCAAATAGATGATATGTTTCAATGAGTTTTTTGGATGTTCCTGAAATTGGCAATTCAGTTATTTGCAACTTTTATGTTCCTGGGCAAAAGTTTCCTAGAATAATAGTCATAATAATGAAGGTGGGGGCTAGCAAAGCCCGGTTAGTGCTGGTGGGCACTCGAGGAAGTCTTGTTGATGTAGGCTACTATAATTTAACATAGGCTACTGTAAGTCATGCTAATGTCAGTTGTGGGCTATGGGTGGCTTGGAGCTTCAGTGGCTTGTCAGATAGTGGTAACTGCTGTGGCATAAAGCACAGCAGGAGATTGGGGGTGCCTAGGGGTGCCTATGCACTGGGGGTGGATGTTTTCAGTTCTCACTGTCTGGAAAGAGAGAGTCTCAGAAAGCTGGTAATATCTTAGGAGTCAAGACCTGAAGGAATGAATCCAGAAGACAGGTAACCTGAGGTTCTAGTCAGAGGGAACAACAAAGGCTCCAGGCAAGAGCAGTGGGTTTCAGAACTGCGTGGAGGCCACTGTGGCTTTAGGAAGTGGGGGTGGAGCTGAGGGCCAGTCTCCTGCCATGAGGTTAGAGACATAGGCAGGGCCTCAGTTTTGGCTCTGAGTGACGTGGGACGTATTTCGGCACATTTACTTTAGTTTTGAGTTCAGTGAGGTGATGTGTTTCTGCCCAACTCAGGAAAGTTTCCTTATGGTATTTTGCTTTGGGGAATTCTAAAGGATATGATATAAACAGTAAAAAACAAAACAAAACTGAAAGTGTATTCCAAGTTATAACTCTTAAAAGCTCATTAGTGTTTTTATTTAACTATTTTTAATAGTATGAGCATCTAATGGACATAACCCTGGGGATTCTTGGTTATGGAGAAAATGAAGACAATAGAATTGGCTTAAAAGTCTGTAAGCAGTATTACAAGAAAGAGACTGTCTTTCCTTCTGAGACACTGAATACTGACAGCACCATTGAAATAGGTATGCAGTGATAATTTCATTATGTGTTTTTATCTTCTGTGGTAAGAGCAAAAATGCCCTTGTGTGCTGGCAAGCCAAATGGAACAACTTTGTTTTGTGACAGCTAATCTATGTGAGGCTTAAAATTTGCCTGCAAAGGGCACTGGCTCAGGAAACTGCAAGTCTACTGTGATAGGACCAGGGAGCCTTTGTGGATCTCTTTGGTGCAACTCAAGATTGTTGGTTTGGGGTAAAAGCACAGGTGTTTCCTGTTTGTTTCAGTTTTTCCCTCCATGAGGCAGTGGCTAGGGTTTTCGAAAAGAAATGAGTCTGTATTTATTAAAGAAATAATGCATGTTAAAATGCTTGGCACTCTTGCTACTGTTACTCATTAACTATATTAGTGCTCCTCAAAGGTGAATTCTAATTAGCAACTCCTCTTCTATTTTGGGAGATTGCTTGGAAAAGGTTAACATCTAACCAAGTAGAATAGTTTTGTGACATTGTGTTAAGAATTTAGAAACACATCCTGTATAAACATGAAATGTTTGAGTTAAGGCTCTGGGGGTTTTGGCATTCATTCAACAAACTTCTGCTATATTCCTACCATGCTAGGGCACTCCCTGTTTTATGTACTGGGCTTGCAAAGATTAAATCAGTCATGGCTTCTCAAATAGCAGACAGTTCAGGAGTAGGAGTCCTAGTAGCAGTTTAAATTTGGAGTGATTTTATTAAAAAGAGAGCAGCACACAATTCATTTGACAATGTTTCTTATTATCCAATTTTAAGGTGCCCTGGTAACGCAACAGAAGAAAACCCTGTAAGAAAGAGATTCAGATTTTTCCACAGGTTGCCTGTTTAGATTAACTTCATGAGTAGATGTGTACCAAGCTATGAACTCTGAAAGAGCCCCATCAGGGGCCCACCTGGGTTGCTTTCGAAGACCATCTAGGCGTTAGTGGCTTGGTTCTGTGGCCAGCAGTCTTAGAATCTCACTTGTCTGATTGCCCTTCAGGCTGCTGCTATCCTGAGAACTTTCTCGTAGTAGGGCTACAGGGGCTAATCTGTTTTCCTCTGAATCTTTTCCTTGAGGCCATCAGCCAAGCTCCTCCCCAGGGGTGGCTCCTCTAACAGTGATAGAAGTACTGGCTGTGTGGAGCTGAAAGCTTGTCCGGTGACCCTCTGCTTCAAGGAAGCCACTGAGCGCTTGTCCTCTTAAAAATGTACCACTTTAACTGGATGCATATAATAAGATTCTTTTCCGGTGATTCATATGCTGTTTTTCTCAAGTGATTTTTCTTGGAAAATCAATGAAAGAAATGCAGCCAATGTCAATATCAGTGGCTAGGTAAGACAGTGCTGGAAAGTAAGATTTATTCCCTGACCATTGGGTATGATGCTCTCGTTCATTTCTTTTCTGTCAAAATGTGGAAATATCCTATGCACCCAACACAGGATCACTTACATATGTGAAACAAATCTAACAGAATTAAAGGGGGAAATAGAATGCAATGCATTCATTTTAGGAGACTTCAACATACCACTCACTCCAAAGGACAGATCAACCAGACAGAAAATAAAGAGACAGAGGCACTGAACAACATATTAGAACAGATGGACCTAACAGACATCTACAGAACTCTCCATCCAAAAGCAACAGGATACACATTCTTCTCAAGTGCACATGGAACATTTTCAAGAATAGATCACATACTAGGCCACAAAAAGAATCTCAGCAAATTCAAAAAGATTGAAATTGTACCAACCAGCTTCTCCAATCACAAAGGTATGAAACTAGAAATAAATGACACAAACAAAACAAAAAAGCCCACAAACACATGTAGGCTAAATAACATGCTCCTAAATAATGAATGAATCAATGACACAGATCAAGCAATATATGGAGACAAATGACAACAATAATTCAATAACACAAAATCTGTGGGATGCAGCAAAGGCTGTGCTAAGAGGGAAATATATTGCAATACAGTCCTTCCTCAGGAAAGAAGAACAATCCCAAATGAACAGTCTAAACTTACAATTAATGAAACTAGAAAAAGAAGAACAAATGAGGCCCAAAGTCAGTAGAAGGAGGGACATAATAAAGATTAAGGCAGAAATAAATAGAATTGAGAAGAATAAAAGAATAGAAAGAATCAATGAAAGCAGGAGCTGGTTCTTTGAGAAAATAAACAAAATAGATAAACCCCTAGCCAGACTTATCAAGAAAAAAAGATAGTGTATACACATAAACAGAATCAGAAATAAGAAAGGAAAAACCACTGTGGACACCACAGAAATACAAAGAATCATGAACGAATACTATGAAAAATTATATGCTAACAAACTGGATAACCTAGAAGAAATGGACAACTTCTAGAAAAATACAACCTTTCAAGGCTGACCCAGGAAGAAACAGAAAATCTGAATAGACCAATTACCAGCAAAGAAATTGAATTGGTAATCAAAACACTACCAAAGAACAAAACTCCTCTACCAGATGGTTTCACTGCTGAATTTTATCAAACATTTAGTGAAGACCTAATACCTATCCTCCTTAAAGTTTTCCAAAAAGTAGAAGAGGAGGGAATACTCCCAAACTCATTCTACGAGGCCAACATCACTCTAATATCAAAACCAGGCAAAGACACCACAAAAAAAAAATTGCAGAACAATATCCCTGATGAACATAGATGCAAAAATACTAAGCAAAATATTAGAAAACCAAATTCAAAAATACATCAAAAAGATGATCCATCATCATCAAGTGGGATTCATCCCAGGGATGCAAGGATGGTACAGCATTCGAAAATCCATCAACATAATCCACTACATCAACAAAAAGAAGGACAAAAACAACATGATCATTTCCATAGATGCTGAAAAAGCATTTGATGAAATTCAACATCCATTCATGATAAAAATTATCAACAAAATGGGTATAGAGGGCAAGTACCTCAACATAATAAAGGCCATATATGACAAACCCACAGCCAACATTATACTTAACAGTGAGAAGCTGAAAGCTTTTCCTTTAAAATCAGGAACAAGACAAGGATGCCCACTCTCCCTGCTTCTATTCAACATAGTTCTGGAGGTCCTAGCCACGGCAATTAGACAACACAAAGAAATAAAACGCATCCAGATTGGTAAGGAAGAAATCAAACTGTCACTGTACATGACATGATATTGTACATAAAAACCTCTAAAGAAACTACTCCAAAACTACTAGATCTAATATCTGAATTTACCAAGGTTGGAGGATACAAAATTAATACACAGAAATCTGTTGCATTCCTGTACACTAATGAGAACTAGGAGAAAGAGAAATCAGGAAAACAATTCCATTCACAATTGCACATCAAAAAGAATAAAATACCTAGGAAGAAACCTAACCAAGGAAGTGAAAGACCTATACTCTGAAAACTATGAGACACTCTTAAGAGAAATTAAAGAGGACACTAATAAATGGAAATTCATCCCATGCTCTTGGTAGGAAGAATTAGTATTGTCAAAATGGCCATCCTGCCTAAAGCAATCTATAGATTTAATGCAATCCCTATCAAAATACCAACAGCATTCTTCAATGAACTAGAGCAAATAGTTCTAAAATTCATATGGAACCATGAGAGACCCCAAATAGCCAAAGCAATCCTGAGAAGGAAGACTAAAGCAGGGGGAATTATGCTCCTTGACTTCAAGCTTTACTGCAAAGCCACAGTAATCAAGACAATTTGGTACTGGCACAAGGACAGACTCATAGACCAGTGGAAGACAATAGAGAGTCCATATATTCACCCAAGCATATATGGTCAATTAATATATGATAAAGGAGCCATGGATATACAATGGGGAAATGACAGCCTCTTCAATAGCTGGTGTTGGCAAAACTGAACAGTTACATGTAAGAGAATGAAACTGGATTATTGTCTCACCCCATACACAAAAGTAAACTCAAAATGGATCAAAGACCTGAAAGTAAGTCATGAAACCATAAAACTCTTAGAAAAAATTATAAGCAAAAATCTCTTGGACAGAAATATGAGCAACTTCTTCATGAACATATCTCCCTGGGCAAGGGAAACAAAAGCAAAAATGAACAAGTGGGACTATATCAAACTAAAAATCTTCTGTACAGCAAAGGATACCATCAGAAGAACAAAAAGACATCCTACAGTATGGGAGAATATGTTCATAAATGACATATTTGATAAAGGGTTGACGTCCAAATTATATAAAGAGCTCATGTACCTCAACAAACAAAAAGCAAATATGCCAATTAAAAAATGGGCAGAGGAGCTGAACAGACACTTCTTCAAAGAGAAAATTCAGATGGCCAACAGACACATGAAAAGATGCTCCACATCGCTAGTCATCAGAGAAATGCAAATTAAAACCACAATGAGATATCACCTCACACCAGTTAGGATGCCCAACATCCAAAAGACAAACAACAACAAATGTTGGGGAGGATGTGGAGAAAGGGGAACCCTCCTACACTGCTGGTGGGAATGTAAACTAGTTCAATCACGTGGAAAGCAGTATGGAGGGTCCTCAGAAAACTCAAAATAGAAATACCATTTGACCCAGGAATTCCACTCCTAGGAATTTACCCTAAGAATGCAGCAGCCCAGTTTGAAAAAGACAGATGCACCCCTATGTTTATCTCAGTACTATTTACAATAGCCAAGAAATGGAAGCAACTAAGTGTCTGTCAGTAGATGAATGGATAAAGAAGATGTGGTACATATACACAATGGAATATTATTCAGCCATAAGACAAAAACAAATCCTGCCATTTGCAACAACCTGGATGGAGCTGGAGGGTATTATGCTCAATGAAATAAGCCAGACAGAGAAAGACAAGTACTAAATGATTTCACTCATCTGTGGAGTATAAGAACAAAGAAAAAACTGAAGGAACAGAACAGCAGCAGACTCACAAGAGCCCAAGAATGGACTAACAGTTACTAAAGGGAAAGTGATTGGGGAGGATGGGTGGGGAGGGAGGGATAAGGGGG